AGCATGTGTCCACATGTTGTGCCTCATGGGTCCCGTCCGCAACTGGTTGAATATGTGTTTCACTACTTGCACACATGCTCCCTCCCTCCCTCTTAATATCATGGCCATTCCACCTCAGCTTAATGACTCAAAAGCTTCCTCCAATAAAACCACCATCAAATTCAATATTCCAAATACTTGTTGCGTTCAAAAACCTTTCACGTAATTGTTGTTTCTCATGAAAAGCTCAATCACCTTAATGTCACTCCTCTAGATTGGCATGACACCGTCAAGTTTGCAAAGTGGCAAGCGTCTAACTATGCTATTCGTATTTGATTGCTCAACAATCTTGAACCCTCAATTACCTTCACACTTAGGCTTCTGACAGCTAGCCAAGATGAAAGATATTCTTTGTTTCACCAACTTCCAAGAAGTACTATCACATATTTACAGCTCATATTCTAAGATATTTTCTCTAGTAGTATGTTGATCTCCTGACCATTCCATAATAGAATCCATGATTCCTAACAGTGTGACTACTCCTATTTAGGATTCATTATGCCACTAAGCTCTCAAACTTTGCTTCCTGATTAGTTTGCTCTCTGTTGGAGTAACTACACTAGAAGATAAGAGCCTTAGATGGTTTGGTCACATAAAACGGCGGCCTTCCGATGACCCGGTTAGGAAAGTAGAGGTATTAGATTTGACTTATGTTAAGAAAGGTAGAGACAGACCTAAAAAGACTTGGTTAGAAATTATTAGGAATGACCTTTCTTTATTAGATTTAAACGAAAATTTAACTTTTAATAGGACATAATGGAGAAAAAGGATTCATGTAGCCGAACACACCTAGTGGGATAAAGGCTTGATGTTATTGTTGTTGGATTGTCTATCCTTCCAATTCTTCATCTCTCAATGTTTTATGTCCCACAATTTCCTATAAACCTATTGTCCATCCTTTCTTATTAAATCTTATAATTTTTACAGCCCTTTTTCCCCACAATGTATTTTTTAGGATATTAATTTAATGAAGACAATTGGAGGGGTTGAAACTAGTGAAATTTACCACATAGTGACTAATAACTAATCCATTCTCTCTTCCACTATTACTTCACATCACTGGCATTGTCATTTGAGTCATCCTCCTCACAAGAGACTTCAAAAATTTGTACACTTATGCCTCTCCAAAATTGAATCTCGAGCCCGCAAAGCTAGATAATCATCATCATTTCTTTTGCTTCAACCACTAATCATTGTAGTCATACTTTCGAGTTTAGTTCAGTTAGACATTTGGGGTCCTAATCTTTAGTTTACTCCCATGGGATTTATTTTTGTCACATTCTTTAATAATATCAAGGGTCTACTTCTCAGCTTTCAATTGAAAGTTCTTAATCTATTTCAAATTTTTATCGGGAATTTACAACTTTTTCTAACTTTAATTAAAACTTTGCACATTAATAATAGCCTGGAATTTAAAGTTGTTTCAATTTTAAACTTTTCCCTTTAATAATGATATTATTCATCAGACCTGTCCCTATACAGCTCAGGAGAATATTGTTGTTGAATCCAAAAAATTAGCATTTGCATAATGTTGCCAGGGTACTAATTTTCATATAATTATCTTTTATCAATTCTAGGGAGATGCAGTCTTCAAAGCAAGTTATCTCATCAATCATATCCTCTCTCCTCTCAACTGATCATTCGCCCATCTTCACTCTTTATGCTAGCCAAATTATATTCCTTCTTACACATATGGTATTTGGTTTTTTACTTTGCTCATCTATTATGCTCCCATCACAAGCTCTCTTGTCATGTCATTCAATAATTTCTCAAGCATTCACACACATACAAATGATCAAACATTATGATCTCTTTACCCGATACTTGTACACTTCGACCGATACAACTTTTTATGACACCAACCCTTTGCCCCTATCTTTTATGCATTCCCAACATGCTCTGCTTCCTCCATAAGCTCATATGTCTATTTCAAACCCTCTAAAGATTTACTCATTAACAACTCAATCACCATCAACAAAATCTGTAACTAAATTATAAGACTGGACTAAGCATCCTCTTGTTAATGAGCTCTCTTATCAACATTTTCCATATGATTTACAACAATATAAAAGAGAATATATTCCTCCTCCTATACACTCTTACATGACATTTGATCATTATCTCCTTCCATCTGTATACTTCCCTTATCAATCATTTACATCTATTGAAATGTGTGCATATACTACTATTCTTCTTATTGTTGGAAAATGAATAAATGTCAAAGATGAAAATCAAGATCCTATGAATTCAAGAAAAGCAAATCAACATAACATATTCATACCAAAGAAGGAAAATAGGAACCCATGAATTCATTAAAAGGAAAAAAAAAATCTAGAGCTTGTTTTTAAAATCTTTATTTATTTACATAGTTGTAAAAACATTTTTATTTCATTTCTGGATCAATCTTCCTATTGCTTTCTATCAAATACTTTATGATTCTTTCCTGCAGGTCTTCCTCCCATGATATTAAATCTTTAAGCTCTTCTAATTGTATTTTGTCTTGGGGTGCAGCTAAGTTAACCTGACTTGCACTTGATTCGCTAAGAAGCTTGCGAGTAAAGCTCATTGAGCCATGACCTAGAGTTCAAGCTCATAACTCAGAGTCGAGTTCATATGTTATACGAGCCTGAGTTTGAGTTTAATGCAACTAACATTATCAACTTGTTAACCTACCTGTTTAATTAACTAATTACTATCATCATAGGTCCATGTGCCACTTTGATATGATCCAATTCAAATAGCAACCTTCTATTTTCTACTTCCAAAAAGGGGAATGCAGAAAACCTGGCGAAATTCAAAATGCTATTTACGTCATTCTCCACTTCAAAATACTATTTACGTCATTCTCCACTTCGCCATTCCCCAACTCTACATTTCTCAAATCCTAATTCCCCTTAGCCCTTAAAACATAGAAACCCTAGGATTTGAGAATTAACTTCATGCCACAAACTTTCCTTCACACTACAAAGCTACCTCCACACTCCCTCGCCTTCACGCCCAACCCCGATTGTGCAAGTGTTGAAGTCCAAATGAAACTTTGTAGATCATCAGCTTCTTCGTCCTCTACATCTAGGAGCAAGTTGTGCGCTCACTCTCGGCAACCCCTACCGCCCTACGCAAGTAAGTTGCCTTAACCTTGAAACAACTTCTTCACGAAATCGTCCTTATTCCGTCAATATCGAACTATTTTGCACAATTCACTAGGCATGATTTTCCTACCCATCGTCAAATTCAATTTCACTTTGCATCATCATTAAAAATAAAGTGATTTATCTACACATCATTGAATTCAATTTTTGCATCGTGTCCACTCCAATTTTGATTCCAACAGGGTCTTCCCAGCCGCGATGACACCAATGATTTCTCTTCTTATTTCTATATGTTCCAATTCTTGTAGGTAACACAGTTTCCACAATTCAACTCATGGGTGTACATAATCAATGATTTTGTTAATCCCATGGATTCTCTTCTTTGACTCCCCATTCACATTGATTTCACATTTTTTGAGCTTTTCATCACCCACAACCTTCATTCCTTGTGACCTTCATTGCAACATGAGCCTTCCCTAACCACAACCTTCATACTATTGTTAGATGCCCACCTAATGTGCTGAATTTTTCAAAGAGTTTCTTTGCTCCATTGTTTAAGTTGACCAACCCTCAAAACCAAGGCAACTAACTACTTGATGCAGAGCATCTTAATTAAATTGCTCCTTAGGCATATTTTAGACCAACCCTCAAAACCAAGGCAACTAACTACTCAATCAAAGTCAAAGGTAATTCTAAACCAGAGATAATTTAATAAGGCTTTGATAATTACTAGTGATAATATAACGCCTAAGCTCAATGGTTTCAACTCCTCGACACTCTTTGGTAACTATGTCCTTCCCTACAAACAACAAGCCTCGGATAATGCTATAAATGAATATTGGGTCATACATGTAGGAGTTACAAATCATATGACATCAATCATCAAATTTAGCACCTACACTTCTTATCCAAGTAATAGGATAAATTTCTAATGTTGGTGGCTCTCTTACCATAGAAACAAGATTAGGAGACTTCCAGATATTACCACTATTTGTTCTAAAAGATGTTCTTCATATTCCTAAACATTCTATTAATGTTATGTCCATTCAAAAACTAACTTGAATTCCAAAGTAATAATTTTTCCTGCCTGCTATGTAATTCAAGATTAGGATGTGGGGAAGAGAAATGGACTTGCTAAGGAAAAAAAGGAGGATTATACTTCCTTGAAACATCAAATCAAAAAGTGTAAAGAATAATCTAACTTTATCTTTCCATTTCTCCTCAAACAATGATATCTTATGGAATTATCATTGTCATTTCTCCTCAAAAAAATAATATTAAAGGAAGCCAATTGAATGGCGCATCAGTAACATATAATAGATTAGGGCACTGCAAATAATGTAAAAGATTAGGGCGTTATGCCAGTGAAATCATATGTTCGACGCAGAAAGCCAATAAAATCTCAAAATTTAAAAATGTGAAGCAGTACCTAACCTAAAGCTACCACCCATACATGCTAAAGAAGTTCTCATTTTAGCTTGCAAGAGCAAGGGATCGAACGAAGACAATCTCTTTCGATAAATGTCACTCATAATACTATTTTTGAAATATATGCACGGTCAGAAAATCAACTATTCTCAGTTCACCGACATCATTTGTAATTCCTCTAAAAAAATAAACTACAGCATCCACCTGAATCTTGAAAGCCCCAAATCCAGAAATATGTATCTCCAACAAACATGGACTTCTCAATATCCAAACGATATCAACGCATACAATCAAATGAAGATTTACGGTTGACTTCCATACCAGAAAAGGCCCCATAGAAAAACCCTAAACTTCGATCATGCATAGTGAAGACAAAATCGAAAGTTTTCAGAAAATAAATATAAAACTTCTGTGGTAAAAAGGCACCTTTAAGGGATCTTAAGCCCTCTTTAGTGAGAAGCATGGGGATCGGAGCTGTTAACGCGGTTGTAAACGGCTTCACCAACAAGGTAAACACCGAAGGCGATGAGGGCGATGCCAAGGCCGGGTGTGGCGTACCTGAACTGGTTGACCAGCATCGGATGCTTCCTCCATTCATCCCTCCTTTTAAAGAATTCACCAGTCGGCCCTAATGGCTTCGCCATTCTGCTCGGTTCTTTCCTCTTTCCCTTGTATTTCCTGAGATCTACAAAGAACTTCTGTAGATGACGGTGCTTTTTCCGGTTAAGAGAAAAAGGGCTGAATATTTATTTATTTATATATTTAACATTCAAAATTAAAATTTACTTTTATAATATTATCAGTTAAAATTTTAAACTAAGTGTCTTATTAATCAAATTTAGCTAGTTAACCAATGAAAAAAATAAATAAATCACCAAAATCGCTCATTTAACGGTCGACTTACTCTACAAGATAAGTTGCCCGTCAAATGTGTGGCTTATATCATTTATTTTAAAAAAAATTATTAAATATTAGTCGTTCAATGTTAAATTTTGAAAATATGCTTTAGAGATGCATAATATTTGAGTTAATTTTTTTATTTTTTGAGCTGTCAAGTTGCACGGAATAGTCACATCGTATGAGCGGCAAAATTATCTTTATCAAATAATGGTGTATTATCAACTCATATTTATAGATAGGGGTGTCAAAATCGGGTTTTCGGTTGGATTCAAGTCAAACCCGGAACTTACCCGGGTTTAAATGGGTAGACCCTAACCTGACCCGGGAATATAGACGGGTCGAAAATTTGGCCCAGACCCAACCCATCGGGTTGCCGGGTTGACCCGACTCGACATGGTTCCGCTTTCTGGCATTGATGGGACGGCGGAATGGCGGGCTGCAAGTGGTAGGCGGCGGCTGGTGCGGACATAAGTGAGCTGGCGTAGATGCAAGCAAGCAGGCGTGGGCGCGAGCAGGTAGGTGAGCTGGCAGGCTCAGGCGAGCGGGCGGCCGCTGGCAGGTGCGGGCAGCCTCGGCGGGTGGACGGTCAACTACGCGGTCAGCTGTAGGCAGAGCGCGAGTACGCGGTCAGCTGTAGGCAGAGCGCGAGTAGCCGTAGGCAGGTGCTCGAGCAGCCGGGGTAGGTGCGGGCAGTCTCAGGTAGCGCGGGCAGCTCATTTCAAATGGGTTTTCGGGTTGACCCGGCAACCCGTTGGGTCAACCCGAACCCGACCCATTTTTTTCAAACGAGTAGAATCCGAGAACCGGGATCCGACCCATTTTGAAATTGGGTTGGGTATAACCCGATATTTTCGAGTCAGGTTCAAATTGAGTTTTCGTGTCGTGTCAAATATTAACACTCCTACTTATAAATATGTATTGTCTTGTCATATACACAGTAGCAATTAATTTTATTAATTTTTTTCATAATTCAGTTGTCATTCTTAGGTGTGCTTCTTTGTTTATATAAATTGTAGATGTAAAGGTTTATTTGATGAGCAATATCTGAAACTTATAGCCTTAAGTTTGTTTGATAGATTTGCCCAGCCTATCGTACCTTACTTCACAATGTATTCGTTGTTCATGGATAAGATTCGAAGAATTCCCACCAAGCTGATGATTGAAGAGGGATACACTTGTTTGAAAGAAAGTTTGATGATAAGTTATGATGAGAGCCTTGAAGAGAAGGTAAAATACAATGAAATTTTCAGGTGTGGTATGCATTCATGAAGCGAAGATAATGATTGCTTATTGTGGCATGCACATGATAAAGTTATGAAAATAAAGTTGTATAGGTCGGTGATGATCATAAAGATGTGGGATGTAAATATGTACAATAGAGGTTCATGGAAAATGGAAGGCATCTCATTTCATTGGACTTTCTATGAGGTGGATTTCATGAAATCGGTCGTTATAGAGAAGGTTCTATTGAGGTGATCGTTTAAAGTTCAATGGTCGATGTAGATCATTGCACTCTCTATCATAAATGGTATCCTATACAAGATGAATTCCTGATAGAATCCTATAAGATTCTTATTCGAAGTGTTATATCAGGAAAGAAGAAGAAGTTTCCAAATTGAGCGGATTGATAATATATTCAACAAGAGTTTGATTATCAGTTCAATTGTTGTCCAACATAGACCCAACTCCAAACTCGTCTGCACATGATTATTAAAAATGTGTAAAATGTTGTTTATGTGCTGATGTTAGTTGAAGTTACTAGTTTTTTTCCCTTCGATTGTTTAGTCTGTGTTATGTTGTTTTGTACTCTATTTTGTAATTGTTGTTGAATGAATATTAATTTGGGGCAATTTGAAAAGATTTCTTGAGGATTAAGTAACTTGTTAGTTTTTTAAAATATTCATGTTTGAATTACTCATATGTGAACATGTCATATCTAATGACATCAAAATAGAATAAGTAGTACATCCATATTTAAGGAGTAAAATGTCAACATTACAATATAACTCAAACAGGTAAAAGTTACATAACACATATCACTAATGCATCCTCTTATGCCGATGTGATATCACATCAGTGCCTGGAGTGAAATGTTGTGGTGCATACACTTGCGTTGTGTGTAGATGGTGGTGGTCCTTAAGGCTGACATAAGGATGTGTGGCTGAGGTTCGTTCAGGAATACATTTACGAAATTTGGTGTGAAGGGAATCTAAATGTCTGGTAGTGTTGGTATCATAAGGAAGCTCTGAGAGGGACCCTCATCAGGGTAAGTGGACGACTCAACATTGTATGGATCTATAGTAGCAAGGGCATGAATGAATAGTATGTAATCACTAAATTTCTCCTTAAAATATTGATTCATGTTCAAGTCGGGTTTTCGTGTCGTGTCAAATATTAACACCCCTACTTATAGATATGTATTGTCTTATCATATACACAGTAGCAATTAAATTTATTATTTTTTTTCATAATTCAGTTGTCATTCTTATGAGTGCTTCTTTGTCTATATAAAATGTAGATGTAAATGTTTATTTGATGAGCAATATCTGAAACTTATAGCCTTAAGTTTGTTTGATAGAGTTGCCCAGCTTATCGTACCTTTCTTCACAATGTATTCATTGGTCATGGATAAGATTTGAAGAATTCCCACCAAGCAGATGATTGAAGAGGGATACACTTGTTTGATAGAAAGTTTGACGATAAGTTATGATGAGAGCCTTGAAGAGAAGGTCAAATACAATGAAATTTTCAGGTGTGTTATGCATTCATGAAGCGAAGATAATGATTGCTTATTGTGGCATGCACATGATAAAGTTATGAAAATGAAGTTGTATAGGTCGGAAATGATCATAAAGACGTGGGGTGGAAATATGTACAACAGAGGTTCATGGAAAATGGTGGGCATCTCATTTCGTTGGACTTTCTATGAGGTTGAACTGTGAAATCGATCGTTAAAAGGTCAATGGTCGATGTAAATCATTGCACTCTCTATCATAATTGGTATCTTATACACGATGAATTCCTGATATAATCCTATAAGATTCTTATTCAAAGTGTTATATTAGGAAATAAAAAGAAGTTTCCAAATCGAGCTAATTGACAGTATATTCAACAAAAGTTTGAGTATTAGTTCAATTGTTGTTCAACACAGACACAACTCCAAACTCGCCTGCACATGATTATTAAAAATATGTAACATATTGTTTATGTGCTGATGTTAGTTGAAGTTACAAGTTTTTTTTTCCTTCAATTGTTTAGTCTGCGTTATGTTGTTTTGTACTCTATTTTATAATTGTTGTTGAATGAATGTAAATTTGGTACGATTTGAACAGATTTCTTAAGGATTAAGTAACTTGTTAATTTTTAAAATATTCAAGTTCGGATTACTCATTTGTGAACATGTCATATCTAATGACATCAAAATAGAATAAAATGTAGTACATCCATATTTAAGGAGTAAAATGTCAACGTTACAATATAACTCAAACATGTAAAAGTTACATGGCACATATCACTAATGCATCCTCTTATGCCGATGTGGTATCACATCAATGCCTGGAGTGAAATGTTGTGGTGCACGCACTGGCCTGGTGCGTAGATGGTGTTGGTCCTCAAGGCTGACCTTAGGATGTGTGGTTGAGGCTCGTTCAGGGATACATTTACGAAATCTCGTGTAAAGGGAATCTAAATTTCTGGTAGTGTTTGGTATCATAAGGTAGCTCTGAGAGGGACCCTCATCGTATGGATCTGTAGTAGCAGGGGCTTAGATGAATAGTGAGTAATCACTAAATGTCTCCTCAAAATACTGATCATCATCAATGTATATATGTTGGCACAATCTATGACATAAGTCCCCTACAAAGTTAATATCCTATTGCATGGCTATATCCTCAATCCCTCCAAAATATGGTTGTAATCTCTTCTACACGTCAGAAAGAAATCACACTGCAAAAATATTTCCAAAGTTTGTTAAATTCAACAATAGCTAATGTAGTTTAATAACAGGAGACTCACCATATGCCGTTATGCTGGTGCTCTTGGATAGTATATCCTAAGCGGGTTCACTGGTGCATTGTGCCAACATATATAGTGGTTTCTAAGAACTGAATTGTGCTGATGGTTCATAAAAGATATTTTTCATATCTCGTCTAGATGTTTGCTAATGCTTGCATGCAGACGCCATAAGCATAGACTCCCCAACCTACCATTCTGAGCACATACCAATGTCAATTTCTATCTATTCGAAGCAACCACAATATATTCAACATTATTTCTGATCGGCCATCCTTATACTCTAAATTGTAGCTCTTCCTTCTTTGTGAAACACATTCCCTTTATCAACTCTATTGGAATTGAGAACTCTTATTCGACTTGATTCCCAATATTTTCATTGTCATCTGTAACGTCCTCATCCCATTTACGAGTGCTCGTGTATATTTTAACGAAGTCATTATTTCCAGCAAAGAAAATATAAAACACTAACATAACTTAAAACTAGACAATAAATAAACAATTAATGTTGAATTTGTTTATGCATGAGATTTATTAAGAAATATAAGTTGATAAATCGCAAAATATGTCTCTGGCAGTCTAAAACAACTAAAAAATTTCAAATATTAAGCCATAAATCCATTTAAATATTTGTGTGGTTCATTTTCACCCCTACAAGCAACATTAAATTAGCTTTTTTTAGACTATTTAAGGCTTTATTCTGCAGTTGAATGCAATCATAAATCTAAGGCTTCTGTTGGGACATTTTTTTTGTACTGTTTTTAAAACAGTTTGTTAATGCAAAATTTTTTAATTAAAAAAAATTAGACTAAATATTTATTTTAAAAAATAATTAAAAAATTATCCCAGCCAAAGACTAAGAGTCATAAATATGAATCAATTACTCTATTTATGAAATGAATAATAATTTCTTTTGAAAATCTATACATGATAATTTTGTGCTTAATAAATGCCGTGTTGCCGAACCTTTCAATGGAATAAAAATTATGTGTGAATATCTATACATAAATGATATTAATATTTAGAATTTAAAATTTATTAGATTTATTTTATTATTATTGTAAAAGAAAGCCTTCATCTATTTTCCATCGATTAAGTACGATTTTGTTTGGGATGACTTTCTTAATGCTTCATAAAACAGTTAATTTTTATACTAAAAAGCTGTTTTAAGAAGAAGTAGGAAAGCCATCCCAAAGGAAAGCTAAGGCTTCGTTTGGGATGGCTTTCTTATTGCTTCTTAAAGCCGCTTTCTAATACAACATTATTAATTTTTGTACTAAAAAGCTGTTTTAAAAAGCAATAAGAAAGCCGTCCCAAACGAAGCCTAAATCTCATCATAAGTCTCGATAGCTAGCCATAATCAATCGCCAATCTACTTGTTATCAATACATAATCTATTAAAGAATCTAAATTAAAAGTCCTCCTTGATCGTCGACTTGTCGTACTCCACTTGGAGATGTAGCTACTACCTCTTAGGGTTTATTTGGAATGGCTTTCTTGCTGTTTTATTTTTTTAGATATCAATCACATAGTCGTTCAATTACTATTTTTCTCATTATTAAAAAAAAAATATTGTGGAAAGTACATTTTATAAATTTCGTAAACAACTTAAAAAAAAAATGCTAACCCTATCCACTCTTCTTCACTTTCCAACAGCCAAAAGCCTTGCACATAGGAGTGTAAACGAGTCAAGCCGAGCTAGAGTCATCCTAGCTTAAATTTGAGCTTGATTAATTAATCGAGTTTGAGCTCGAGCAAAAACTTTATTTTATGAGTTATTGTTGGCTCATTTATTATTAAAGAGAGAAAATAATGATGATTTAAGCTATTCTTAATATAAAATAGTAAAAAATTGTAAAATTATTAAAAAATATAATAAAGAATTGTTTAATATAAGAAAGATATTTTTTTACCATTTTTCAAAACTTTGCACACAAAATCATGAATTTGAATATATTTTAAGATATTATCACATAAACTGATAAAATATTGTTATTTTATTTAAATTGAGAGCATTGAAGCATGTTAAATGAGTAAGGCTTCATTTGAGATAACTTTTTTTTTAATTGTTTCCTAAAATATTTTTTTACTAAAAAAATTCTAGAAAAGACTGTACTTTTTTTTTGGGAAAACCCGGGGCAATAAGCCCATATATTAAAAACAAAATTCAATTACAAGTAACCTGTGGAAGAGAACTGAACAAAAAAACAAAATTACACAGATAGAACCAAAGGAAAATAGTGGGCATTAAGCTAATAAAAGACTCAGAAAAAGCCTAAAACCATAGAAACAACATGATTTTCAGGATCCAAAAAAATAGTCGCTGCGGTGGATACAGGTTGCCTGAAGGCGATAAACGAAGCTGAAAGCAGGGGGCGGTCAGACTAAAGGCCATCTCAGGACCACCAGGAAGCGACAAGTTACCCAGGAGATCGAGCCAGGTTGCCATACTAGCCGTCCGTAGCTCGAGAGGGTAGAGGAAGGTCGAGCTCATCATCGTCAAATAGCTATAATGCCACCACTGTTGCCTTTGGAACACCGTGAAGTAAACCCAGGAAATGAAGACATAGTTCCCAAAGTCGGATTGGATAGTAGAGGGATCGAAAACCTCAAAACCATCCCAAAAAATGTTCTCCCCAGGTCTGAAAGTAAAGCAATCAGAAAAATGAGCCAAATGCATAACCCCGAAGTCAGCAGAACCAAACATCAAGTCCAGCCAGTCGTGAAGAGTCCAAAAAATTTCTCCAGAATGTTGGGAACCATGTGATCCCGCAATGAAACACAGAAAAACAGCCAAAGTTAAGAGCCAGTAAACCTCCTTAATAATTCTTGTTTGTGTTTCCATTTTGAAATCTTGAAATGAATTGCCATGGAAATATTGCATATGATCTTGGTGACATTGTTTGAAGAATTAGAGAAACGGCGGGAGTTTCTTTCTTTCCAAACATGGTAAATGATACAGCTAATAATAAGGCAACAGTAATCCTTTTCCACTCTACTAAAAAGTGTATTAGATTCAATAAAATCATAAATCTGGCCTAAGGTCGGCCTAAATAAAAAGCAATTTAGGTCCGGCAAAAAAGTTTTAAGGATGTAAAAAGAAAAATCGCATCCAAAAAACAGATGAGTGTGGTTTTCCGCATGGGAGGAACAAAAAGAGCAGTCAGTATTAACTTGTATGCCGCGTGATAATAAATTGTCCGCCGTTTTAAGTTTACCCAAGATTGCCATCCAAGTGAAGCAAGCAAATTTGAGAACATGTTTTTTATGCCAAACAGAAACAGACCAGTCAACTCTAGGTAAAGAGGAGTAAAAATGATCAGTAAAGAGTCTGAACACCCAAATAGTCGAACCTTTCCAAAGAATTTCCGATTTTTCCCCCAGGTTAATCGCAGAGATGCTATCCAAAATATTATGAGGAATAGAAGCAGGCAGGGACCAATTGGCATTGGTAATGAGATCTCCCACACATTTCCGGTCCAGATCCAGAGAAAGAAAGTATTCAGATAAACTGGTCCCATTGAGCCATGGATCCCACATGAAAGAGAATGTACAAGCTTGAGACACAGAGAATGAAAAGACTGTACTTAAAAAGAGTAAGTGTCATAAATTATAAATTAAAAAAGAATAGATTATTTATAAATTACATTCACTTTTAAATAAAATCTAAAAATTTTAAAATTCATCTTAATTAATTTTTTATAAAATTTTGGGAACCAAACTTTATTCTTTCAAACATATTTGTAATCATAATTTATTTAATTAACATTGATATTCAATGCTCAAATTTATTTTCAATACGATAGGCATGCATAAAAAAATCATACGATGCTCTCTTTGCATGCCATGTTTAAGGGTCGGGGCGGATGCGAAAACCTCCCGGTAGAGATCAGGTCAAACACCACCTTATTCGCGGCATCAGTGTAGTGAACTCCGTCCCACACCACCTTTTTTGATGGCTCGCGGCACGATCTTCCAAGCAAAACCTCGCTGCCGTTCACCGTCGCCGTGCCCCCACACTGGATGTCGTAGTCGAAATTGTACTTGCCATCGCCGTACCCGCAGCATACCTTTAGAGGGTCCTCAAACCCTATAATTAAAGCTGGATTAGAATAATCTCTTTAATTTACTTAAAATAAAATTGTTTATAACACTTCTCTTGGAACTTTATCAAATGCTTTCTTTAAATCAATATCATATGAAGGTCCTCCTTATCCTTATTATTATATACTTCTCCATCAAATCTTTCAATAAATTTATAGCATCCATAGTAAACATACCCGACATGAATCCAAATTGATTTTGAGAAGCATTAGTATCACGTCATAACATATACTCCATAATTTTTTCCCATAGTTTTAAAGCAAGACACATCATCATAATTCCTCTATAATTTGCATAATTTTGTGCATCATATTAATTCTTAAAAATAGAAATCAACACACTCATTCTTCACTCACCTGACATCTTTTTAGTCTTTAAAATAATATTAAAAAATTTAATAAGCCAAAAAATTCATTCATCCCCTAAGTATTTCTACACATCTATTAGAATCACCAAGTCCAACAACTTTTCTATACTTCATTTTCTTTAAAGCCTCTCTAACTTTAATTTCAAATATTTTTATTTTCATTTAGGATGCTAATATCGTTATAATTAATTGTCTTCTCACAATCTTCATTGAAAAGTATATCAAAATATCTTCTTTAAATGAAAATACTTTATGAACTTCATCCTTAATGCACTTCACTTAAACTAAATCCTTACTACTCCAACCTCTTTGTTTGACTAACTTATATATATATATATATATATATCTCATCAATATTTTCACTTCCTTCACAAAGCCAACTACTCATATTTAATTCCCTCCAATTAAAGAGAAGGACATATCTTTATAACCAATGTTCATTTACTTGAACTATTTCCACACGAGTAGGTCTCTTTTTCCTTTTTGGGTTTTCGTCTACCAATACATTTTTTTATTTCATCTTTGCCTATGCCAAATTTTCATGCTAAGTTAAGACATTAAATTCTTTATTAAATGTCACGATTCATGAACATTCTAGCACTTAATAAATATAATAACTATATTTGATAAAAAATTGCCTCAAATGCTTTGGTAGAAATTTTTTTCTTAATTTTGAGCATAAATATTTATTGAAGAGGGACAAAATAATTAAAATTCTTATTGTACTAAGGAAAAAAAAATTTATTGATGAGATGCAAATATGTATATATATTTGATAAAAAATTGCCTCAAATGATTTGGTTAAATTTTTAATCTAAATTAATTTAAAACTTTAATTTCCTTGTAGATATATATATATATATGCATG